AAATTCTATTGTGGCAAAGGTTATAATGCTGAGGCTATTCAGAGAGCACAAACAATCCTCAACATGAACAAAGACACACTTCCTTTCAAGTATCTGGGTACCCCTATTTGCAGGGGAGTTATCAAGAAGCAAGATTGTGGGGAAATACTTGACCATTTCAACAATTATATTGATAAGTGGTACAATAAGGTTTTGATTCAAACTGGTAGAATGATTTTAATCAAACATGTGCTTTCTACTATACCACTTCATCATATGGCAGTTCATCAGCTTCCTAAGTCAGTTATATCACACCTCAACAAAATGATGGCCAAATTTTTATGGGGGGATAGACATCATTGGGCTACCTGGGACAAGGTTTGCCTACTTAAAGAAGAAGGTGGTTTGGGAATTCGTAACTTGGAGGACATTCAGGAGGCCTAGGAGGCCTTTTCTGTGAAGCTTTGGTGGAACTTGCTTATGGTCTATTTTCATGAGGTGAAAATATAGTACCACTTGTTTTAGAGAGAAACTCACTGATTCTCCTATCCGTAAAAGAATTTGCAGAATAAACTCTATAGCTGAAGAGCTTTTGGGGGACATTACTCGTGAGCAAGATGATGATGGGTACTCAGAAGTGGTCCAAATTTCTTTCAAGGAAGCCTATAACCACTGTAGACCACACTACTCTATCTCTCTCAGCGACAAATATAACTGGGACCATCTTCAACCTATCAAAAGCCAGTTGTTCCTTTGGAAAGTTAACTACAAGCTTTTGCCTTTCCCTGAGAATATTACCCACATCTATTACTCACTCCCCTCTCAATGCCCTAACTGTCTCAAAGATGATGGGAGTATGGACCATTGCTTGCTACAATGCCCTATGATTCATGGTTTTTGGAAGGAACTTGCTCTCATTCTTGACAGACCCACTCCTACAGAAGGTATCACACTCCAACAACATATTCTTGAGTGGAATATGAGATCTTCTAACTCATTCAAGGGGAAGGTTAGACTTATTTCTCCTGGTATTATTGCTTGGTCTATTTGGAAGAACTATGCTAGCAACATATTCGGCAATCAAAAGGAAAGAATCTCCAACATCAAGCATACAATTCAATACAATATTTACCTTTGGTGTTGGAAATTTCGAAGAAAAAAGTGGATGATTAAGGACACCAACCTTACAGATGAAGGTCTTCAATACTTTGCACTCACCGGGAACTTCATTTGCAACTACTTCGCTGAGATCGGGGAAGAAGTCGACGTATGATTAAAAACTGGAACTGTTTGAGCCTTCTTTAGTTTTTATTTGTCTATTTTTGGCACTTTGTATCTTCTTTTTCCTCTTTTACCTTCGGGTTTCGGTCTAGTCCCCCCTGAACGTGATCTCTCTTGTACTCCCTCCCCCCGTCTTAATAAAATTAGGTAGGAGTTCCCCGGCTCTACCACACCGATTTTGGTACTTCTCTCCGAAAAAAAATAAAAATAAAATATATGTTCTGATTAGGAATGCTTCCTTGACATCGTCCCATATCACTTCATAGATGTTTTTGATTCTCTTCCCAGTGAGAATGACTTCATTTATGGAGATGTTCTTGAGAGATGCCATGTCCTTGCAGAATTCCAAGGAGTAACCTTTATCACAAAACTGACTTATGCTAAGAAGGTTATAATTGAGACCTTCAACATAAAATACAGCTTGAATGGTTAGTCCCTTGTACACCAGATTTCCTAGCCCTTTAGTAAGGCCAAAATCATTGCTTCCTCCAAAAGTAACTCTTGGACCATCATAGGGAATTAGATTGCTCGAAAGACTCGCATCACCCGTCATGTGTCTTGAACAGCCACTGTCTAAGTACTAGACACCTGGGTACTTAGAGGCTTCCTGTATTAGGAGGAGGAAGATTTTGGTACCCAATTCAGTTTGGGTCCGGAATAGTTAATGGTGTGTGTCCCTACATCAAGTTTGAAGTTGCAGGGAATTTTCCTAGCAAACCTATGTTGATAAGACCTATAGTTTTGTCTAGGTTGTGCATAGTGTGACTTATAAGTCCATTTTGTACGTACTTATCTTCTCTATATTTAATGTGTTATTGTCTAATTTTAGATCAAACAAATCAATTTCTCAATGGTTTTTATAAGTTTTTATTCATAATTGTAAAAGTGCACAAAAGTTATGTCTAGTTTTAAAAACAATAAAAATTGAGTCAAAAGTGGTACAAAAGTGTAAAAGATTGTGGAAATGAAATGCAACGGAGCAAAAGAGCAAAAGATGGCGAAAATCCTTGAAGTGAAAAATGTGCATTCAAATGTGGAAGTGCACCCCGTCAAAAGATTTGAGGTCAAACGGATTGAAAAAGCATCAAAAAGAAATTGTTTGGAAAGAAAAAGAAAAAAAATGTTGATTCAATTCAAAATTAATTCGTTTGAACCAGATTTGTTCAGAATTTGAAGTCGGCACAGAAGGAAAAGTTGTTCAGAATAAAATTTTGAGCAAGATAACGTTTTTGGAAAAATATTTCAGACCAGATCAAATTCCAGCCAACCAGGCGCTGCCACATGGCACAACCTGGCTGGCCGGCCAACTGTAGCAGCAACAGCAAGGTGGCACGTCACATTTTGCAGCCACCACAATTTCAAGCATACATTGAAAAAACAAAGAAAGCAAAAGTTAACAAAAAGGGAGCAAGGGACGAAAGAAGAATCGCCGTGCAAATCAACCAAACCTGCGCAGCCATACGCACTACTACTCCAGGCGCGCGCCTGCAACTCAGGCCCACGCCTGTCGGAGGCCTGGACCGAAATTTTCTCCTATAAAAGAAGGGCTTCACCCCTTCATTTAAATAAAAAGCCTTCTTCTGGGTCTTAATGGCCCGAAACTCCATTCCTCGCTCTTTTCTCAATTATAGTTTAATATTTTAGTTTAGTTTTGTTCCGGTTGTCCCAAAATGGCTCCGACTCTGTTCTCTGTTGTAAGTTTTAATACTTACAATTTTAATAAAATGTTCTTTTATTTTATGCACTGTTGATATTTAGTATGGGTTAGGACCCAAATTAGGGTCCTGGCTAAATTTGGGCATATACTCTGTATGTTTATTTAATAGTTGGAATAATTGTTCTAAAATTATTTTTATTGATAAATTAATTAATTATGTCGAGAGAAAAATTAATTAATTATTGGAAATTAGTTTTTGCTTTGTCTATGAGGATATAAAATTAATTGAGCCAAACTTTTTAGAACACATTAATGCTGCCTTGAGAGAGGATAAGTTAATGAAATATTTGTGACAGAAATATTATTATTCCAATTATTGATTAAATATGTGACAACAGTAGTTAACTCAGATGATGCCTTGACCCGAAGTCTAGTCCTATACCCGTACTATTTATTTTCTTTTTCTCAAAAAGCACCTAGTACTTTAGTTTATTTTCAAATCAAATCGAGAAGACTTTCAGACTTGTCTAAACCTTCGTCTAGTTAGAAAAATTAGCTATTTCCCTTCGTCCACTCCTCGAGAGACACGACACTCGGAGAAAACTAACCCTTCATTGGAAAGATTGACTTACCGAAAAACTCAATCATCAAATGGCGCCGTTGCCAGGGAGTGGCACGGTTTTAGTTTAATTTTTTTTTATTAGCTTGGGTGAAGATAAGTTAGGTCTATCTTCTCACCTCTTTTCCAAAAGCCACCCGTAGTAATCATTAAAAATGAATTTTCGAGATGATTACTACGATCTGCCTCCTTTCTACCAACCACCCGACCATCCACCATCATTTTCCCAACAGTCCAATTACTATCCACCATCACCACCACCATATCATCCATATTAGGATTCCTATTATGATGACTACTCAGCCAATAATGGACCTGATTATTATCAATACCATGAGGAACCACCATACGATACCCCGTCTCGGAGCTTTGGATATTCTCCATACCAAGACAACTGTGGGGACTATGATGAACCTCATGGTGATCAAGATGATTATGACGAACAAGGGCCAATGTACGATGACCAGCTAGATCCACTTATTGAAGAGATTTTGTGGACTGAGGAAAAAATACTTAATCTTGACCTAGCATTAGTAATGGAGTGTTCATTATTTGAACCACCATATTGTCGTGATTACTCTCTGAGTCGTGAAGAGCAAATCGAAGCAAACAGAGATGCAATCCAGGCGAGAGAACGATTTCTCAAAACAGTCCAAGAAGAACGCCAACTGCTCCAAACCCAGAAAGATAACGAACAACGCGAATATTGGGAGCATATGCAAAAGATGCTGGTGGACTTTAAGAAGGCTATGGAACAACAAGAAGAGATGGAGGAAATTGTTGTTCTAGAAGAGGATGAAGAATCTGAGACGGAATCTGAAACTGAATCCAACAATGTCTCAATTCTTGAATATCCACAAACTCCATCATCACTGTATATCGAAAATAAGATAACACTTGCAGAAATGATTGCACGAGGTACAATGGTACGGTGATGCTTCCTGAAAGCCCAAAAAGTCAAATTGTACAAGAGGTGAAGCATACTGAGGGTCCTGTCTCAGAACCGCCTTCACCAGCTGCACCAGAAACGTTGGATGAATCTGATATGATAATATATTAGTTATATTATTTATTAAATATATAGTACTCCGTATTACTTATTATTATTTATTAATATTCTATAGATTAGAGTTTAGTACGGGCCCGAGCCCATTAGGTCAACTAGCGTAGCTTTACTTCCTATATATTGTAACACTTCCCCGTTATTATGAAAGCAATAAAGAAATATCAAAACCCTAATCTCCTCCTCTATTCTCTTGGAGCCCGGAAACGCTCGAAGTTTTCCTTCTCTTTATCTCTCCTTTCTTGGAGCCCGAAGACGCTCGAAGTTCTTCCCTATTCGATACGATATTCGTATCAATTGGTGTTTTCATTGAGAG